TGTGCAATCAATTCTAATGAGTGCATTACAACATTTAACTTTCAGATGGATATACCACAAAAGATGTGATTTATGTCTGGAAATACGGCAACGACAAATCCGTAGACAGGTATGATGACCTAAGTATGGCCCAGTTCGACCTTATAGGGATACATTGCAGAAATGTTACAAAGAATACACCTCTGGGAGGTAAAGATATAATATTCTTTCCAAGCGTATTATGTCGTACAATAAATTGAAGTGATAATGTGTTTCGTTTCAGAATTCCCTCCACAATTTATTTATCAATCGAGAAGTCTTCAGCCTTTCCATTCCATACCCTTCCCCAGAATAAAACCCAACATGTTATTCGTTTCGCGTCAGAAAAAAACGAGGATGATCAAAAGGGTTCTTATGTCTTCACTTTCTCAAAAAGTCTCCTTAAAATTGTATAAGCTTTAATGACTGTAGTTACAATGTGATAAATAAAAATCATCTGGAGTGTGATATTTTTTTATGTAAGGCCTTATTTGCCATATACATTAAGTTTTCCAGGTCGAACAGATTCATAAAGTAAGTTATTTGACATTTCTTGCAAATAATCAATAAGCAAGAAACGTTACTCCAATTCAGCACCAAATGATTGTGATGCAGTGCCGTAAAACACTGAACCAAATTAGCATACACGCTGGAGAGACAGATTATTTTATGATTGAGGATTACATAATATGTACCATGTATTCGGGGTTTTAATTATGTAGATTTGTTTGCTTTTAGTTTTTTGTGTTTCTTAATTTAAGTTTTTTTAATCATAGAAGGAGCATCTACGAAGCAAACCTAAGTAAATATCAATGAGTCTTTCAATAAATTAACCAATCAACGAGCCACCCATGATTTTTGTTTAGGACGGGTCACAAAAAATGACCTGCGGGTCGTTAGTTGGACTATTTTTTATTAGATGATAAAGCTATAAAGGTGGAGGAGTATGCTAATGGTTTGTACATTAAACCTTTTTAATGAGGCGATTTCCAGCCTCAACTGAACGAATAAGTCTATTGCAGTTCTATTTTGTTCTGAACTTATGCTCTTTGCCACTTTCCGACTTGATTTTTTTTTTGTTTTTGTTTTTTTTTTGTTTTTGCTTTTCATCTTCCTGGATTGCACTCTTTATTGTACTCTTTATTATATTTTCGTCTTATAAGGATGATTTTCTTCTCATATATTCATGTCTACTTAAAAGATGTGTATCTCCGCGTTGAATGGGTCAAGTTGCAAATCGGTTGTCTTCACACAGGTGCATTATCCATTACGAGAGAAAATCAGTTTGATATGCTCTACCATACTTTAAGATATTTTTGTGCAGACGATTAAAATGCACTTCATCAACTGAAGTACAAATAAACTGTGTTGAACGATTACTTTTGTGAAATGGTTGTTTTCTCGAAAACTACAATGAAATGCTAGTATATCATCAACATCGTTTGTCTTGTAGTCTAGTAGACCGATGGGGCACCGCATGAGACCGGACAACCATCTTCCTCCATCCCTCTCGATTTTCCGTCTTTCTCAGCGAGTCTCTCAGTGTCAAGTCTGTCCACCCTCGCATGTTGTCTTCGCACCACTTTCTCTGTCTGCCTCTCTTTCTTCTTGCTTGTACAGTGCTTTGCAGGATTGTCTTGGTAAGTCCTGATGATCGTGAGACATGTCCATACCACTGCAGTTTACGTTTTTTCACTGTGTTCAGGAGGTCTTCGTGAGTCCCAATGGCTTCTCTGATCATTTGCTCTATTTGTTCTTTGGTAACACGGTCTTTGTATGAGACACCAAGGATCTTTCGGAAGCATCTCATCTCTGTGGCCTGTATCCTTTTCTCTAAATCAGCTTTTATGGTCCATTATTCACAGGCATGGAGAAATATGGAGATCACCAGTTAGTGCATCAGTCTGATCTTTGAACTGAGTGCGATTTTCTTGTCGTTCCAGTTGGGCTTCAGTTTTGTCAGCGTTGCTATTGTCTGCTCAATCCTGGAGAATACTTCAGGCTTCGATCCTTCATCTGTTACAATTGCTCCCAGATACTTGAAGCTGTGGACCCTGATGTCAGAGCTGATGCCCTTGGTATTGTTGGTCATTATTTTTGTCTTCTCTGCACTGATATCCATGCCGTATCCTGCAGAGGTTTTGTCGAGGCTCTCGACTAAGCTTGCTAGTTCTTGTTCATTTTTTGCTAGTCCATCAATGTCGTCGGCAAAAGGCAAGTTGGAGACTGTTCTGCCTTCGATGATGACTGTCATGCTTTTCAGGCGCGTCAGCCAAGAATCTGATCTCTCCCACATTATTCAACAGCGTTTTGGAGAGAATCACAGCTAGCATATAAGAAATTCTATATATCTAATAGCTGTCAAATATTAAAAAATATTGTGTATTCCTGACACTATAAGAACGTTAGCTTCATTGACACTAAAACATAAGTTTTATTGACGTTACAGTAGCATTAAGTTCACTTACAAAATGTGACATTAACTAATGATATAATTCTGTAACTTGTATATTTTCTGTATTTCAGAAGAGTATTCAATGTTGGAGGTGTTTATACATTTCGAGCGCCATCTAGGATACTTTATACTGCAAACTTACCTCCCATGCAGCTTGATTACTTGTCTCTCTTTCGTTTCATTCTGGATCCACCGTGATGCAGCACCTGGACGAGTTTTTCTAGGTAAGAAAGTCTCACGGCAGATTTTATTTTCTTCTATTAAATATGTGTGTGTGTGTGTTTGTGTGTGTGTGTGAGTGAGTGAGCATTTAACAGTATGCTTCAATTGGCATAACCGATGGACCTATTTTGCCTTTTGCTGCACATCAATGCATCTTAATTCAATAACTTCTGCAAGGTTTAATCATACCTTGACCAACTCCATTTTGTATATTATCAATGTAAACAAACTCTACGCGGAGGAAGTAACCACAAACCGTCTGCATGTCCCAAAAAACAAGGAGACTTTTTACATCGTACTGTTTTGATTAAACAAGCAAATGCAATTTTGTACGCACTTTCGTAAAGTTTTGGATCTGTCTTTTCATAATTGTTACAAATAAATAACTTTACCACATACGTCACTGGCAAACAAGCCATGCAAACAGTGCACTAGTTCTTCGAAATATCGTCCTGATTGTTGTCAACCTCCAGCCGTTCGTGCAGGTAGCGAATTCACTCTCATATAAGTAAGTCCCATCCGTAATCTGCATTGAGCCAGATCTACCTAGCTAGAATGCGTCTGCAGATATGGTTCTCTATGCAATTATTTTAGAAATAGTCAATAAAACAAACAACATATATTCTGATCTGCTGATAAATTGTGCGACAAAAGATCTGAATATATATATATATATATATATATATACATATATATATATATATATATATATATATATATATATATATATATATATATATATATATATATATATATAATTTTAATTCCCACCTAACTCATAAACCAAGGCATACGGTAAATGTCAATATTGTCTCTTGTGTTTTGATATTGTTGAGAATAAACGATAAATCATTGTTTCTATCAACTTATGCAGGGGTTTTTTACGGTTAAACATATTTTTGAGGTTTAGGATCCGGAAAATTGTAGAAAGGCACTAGAGGGATTCATTGATGAAACCCGGTACCGCCAAGATGTAGAGTGTCAAGTTCAGCTCTTTCCTTGAATATTTATTATTTATTTATTTATCAAGTTCTTCGTTTATTGTTATTAACAGGGGTGATGACAATTTTAGCCACGGCTGGAATAGGCATGAACGCCCGTGAAGGCTTTCCTCGAATATCCTATGCTACAGGTTTGGACCTCTATTTGAATTTCTGCGTTGCTTTTGAAATGTTTGCCATGATCGAGTATGCTCTCGTGAACTACTTTACCAAGGCTTTACCAAAAGACACAAAAGAGGAAGACGACGAGGAAAGTCAGGTACCTCTCAGCAAAGTCGATCAATATAGTAAAGGACGTAAATACTCTCATAAGGTCCTTGATGAACTGAAATAAACTTCATTTGTTTAACATGAGGAGAGAACATAATAAAACTATAGCTTTATTTCCATTAATTCGAGTTATTACAATATGAAACAGTAGCAGTAGTAGTAGTAGTAGTGGTAGTAGTAGTAGTAGTAGTTTGGTCTATTAATCCATTAACATCAATTATATGTACCTAGATATTAGAGAGCATATATACGTGACATAACTAATGCATTCACTATACTTGCATATAGCAATGATGAACTAACATTTTGTATCAAAATCTGTCAAACAGTACATGAGTAGTAAGTCCAGTTTTCTCACATCTTTTCATATCTGGTACTTCTCACAGGCGCTGATATTACCGGACAATCCAGGAATCCTTCCTGCCGGGGTAATAGAGGAAGGCAAAGAATGCATAGACATGTTCAACAATAGTTTACGACACTATGAACACAAGAACTACAAGTGGGTGTCCCTGTGTCTGAGATGTCTATCTGGGAACATGGCCTATAGGTCCAAACTGACCCAGAATGCGGACATGGAGAAGGGAAATAGTATTAGCAGGATTGACGTCTTAAGCAGAGCCTTGTTTCCCAGCCTTTTCTTCGTGTTTAACTGTATTTACTGGCTCTGGTACCTATACTTGGGGAACGCGTACTGATTCTTTCCATAGCTTCCTTCCAACTTCACGTCAAAATGCAAGATGGACAAGATGGGGAAATATGTTTCAGTACTTTGTCTTGAGCATGATGTGATGTGGTGTGATTTTGATTTCTGAATGCAGCTTTAACAATTTTTCAGTCATATCGCTACGATGTCTGCAGTGTGGCAGTTTATAGTGATGCCTAGCAATGGGGCATCATGCCCCAGACATGTAGCATGATGTCCCACCCAGTCACATTATCTTGACACCAGGCCGACCAGTCCTAACACTAACCTCTTAATGCTGAGCGCCAAGAGAGGAAGCTGTTAGTACCATTTTTGTAAGTCTTTGGTATGACTCGACCGGGGATCGAACCCACGACCTCCCGCATTCGAGGCGGATGCTCTAACCACTATGCCACCGGAGTGGTCTTGAGCATGAAACAATATCGCCTTGTAATTAAATAATATTTTGTTGCAAATATACATCCATCAAAAATTTGTTATAAAAACGGTACACGAAACACATTTTGTAAAATTTATTTTACACAACAAAAAAAATCTTTATGCCATCAGAGTGAAGATCATTAGGTAATATATTTTCTATCATTCATTTATTTATTCATCCGTTATTTGGTTCGTTCATTCTTTTATCTACACCGTATAAAGATATTTTGAGGTTTCATTTACTTTCCTCCTCACAGCCAGGCTATTAACGATATTACAGGATAATTTCATTATGGCCACCTCTCTGAAAGCAAATATTATTTCAATGTAATTTAGTTTATCCCTCAGTCAACTCGAAATTTTCTACGTGCTAGATAGTCAATTGTTTGATCGATTTATATAAAATTCCTCGAAGAAATTTTTGACTTGTTGTCAGCAAATATTTTAATTTACCAGTGACAAGAACAAACATATAACGGCAATGCAAAGAAGTGATTATAATTGCAAGGTAGTACAGACGTGCACAAAAGTAATTAAAATGTAGTACAGCAATGCATATAAGTAATTGAAAGGAAATACAGCAATTCATAGAAGTAATTCAAAGGTAGTAAAACAATGCATAGAAGTAATTGAAAGGTAGTACAGTAATGCATAGAAGTAATTGAAAGGTAGTACAACAATGCATAGAAGTAATTGAAAGGTAGTACAGCAATCCATAGAAGTAATTGAAAGGTAGTACAGCAATGCATAGAAGTAATTGAAAGGTAGTACAACAATGCATAGAAGTAATTGAAAGGTAGTACAACAATGCATAGAAGTAATTGAAAGGTAGTACAACAATGCATAGAAGTAATTGAAAGGTAGTACAGCAATCCATAGAAGTAATTGAAAGGTAGTACAGCAATGCATAGAAGTAATTGAAAGGTAGTACAGCAATGCATAGAAGTAATTGAAAGGTAGTACAGCAATGCATAGAAGTAATTGAAAGGTAGTACAGCAATGCATAGAAGTAATTGAAAGATAATACAGCAATGCTAACAACGCTATAAAGACGCCAAGAATGTACTCAACGAATGATTTAATCTTTTTCCAGATGTCAAACCATGGCAACCGTATTTATAAGTTTCAATGGTGTGTCTTTACATGTTGAGCTTTTGAGAATTTTCTCCAGACAAGAAAACAACGTGTATTGATCTTTGATCACTTTCATCTGCAACAATCGAAGGACAGGCGTTGGGGATTATTTTCATTCTTACATGGTTACCAGTTTATAAACAGATTGCTTGAAGACACGTTATCATATCATCCTGATCTATTTGGGATCAAAGGGGTAAATCTGAAATCATGAATTATCATTCAGCAATGATGGCTGAAGATTCCAGCTTTCCGTTTCTGTACATAGTGTTAAAAGGAGACAAGATCTCTGAGTAAAAATCACGGAGAAATTTATGAACTGACCTTTTATCATTTTCTTTATGACGAATAGTATTATACGCAGATAAAGTTTATTGTCTATAATGTTAAGTTGCAAAACATCCCCTTATTTTCTGGATGGTTGAAATTGAAAATGATACGTTCTATCCTAAAGTTATCTGTCATAAAATTGTCACTTTGTTCAGGAAGTCTTCAAGAACCAATGGAATTTGTTTTGCTGTACATACTAACAGCAAGTAAATATCGAGTTCAATTTATGTTATTTATCTGATTAATATACTTTTTGCTAATGTTATACATTTGTGAAATATTTCACAAATGCTCAGATTATTTCGTGTTTACTTATCAACTTGACCTTGAACTTTGGAAGCTATAATGCACTGTAACATTTTCTTTTCTCAGAGAAAGAAAAACCAGGGCAATTTATGAACGGACAGTTTATCATTTTCTTGATGACGTATTGTTTTGGATATTTTAAGCAGATTAATTTTATTTACTGTAAAATATGTTTATGTGATAATGTAATTTAATTGCTTACGTTATACATTTGTGACACAGCCTGACGATATTATACATTTGTGAAACAATCTCACAATTTCTCAGGTTTTTTTATGGTTTAAATTTCTCATCAGCTGAATACAAAAAAGCAAAAAGTGGGTCAGTGAGAAATTCCTCCTCGTTTTACGAAATATCATCAGGATACTAGTATGGGTGTTTTCCCCTCATGCCTATTCATGTGTGACATGGATTCAACACGTAAGAAAAACATGATGACCTGAAACTAACTTTTTGTTGCACATGATAAAAACGTATGCCCATTTTATTTTCAGGACATTGCAGTCTATCCTAGAGAGTAAAATGAATGAGAGAAAACAGAGACAATCATATGCACTTGGGTGGGAAAATTTCACCCTCTTGGTCAGACTTTGTGGGCAAGAACTCGATAAAGCCTTGTTCCGGATTCACATTCGGAGTCTCAAATTTAATTTCTTTTATCCAACACTAGTGCATATGGTGCATTCTATTAATCTGCAACTTTGGATGATGTTAAATTGACCTTGAACTTAAGAAGCTATAATGTACTGCTGTACCGTGTAAGATTTTCACTATCACATAAGTGCAAAAAGAAGGGATTGGACTGACGAATTTTGTAGCCACATGGCCTAGCAATAACATCTTTATTTATCGAACGCAATAGAAATTAGCAAAATTACACTTGCCAATTTTGTATCATTATAAAAATTTGAATTGAAGCTTCACATACCGGTGTGTTTTTCAAGCAAAGCTTTGTTTTAGATAATAAAGAAGAGGTGAACCAAACGAGTTGTAAATAATTGGGTCCTTTTAAGTAGTGATCGTTATAAAAAGTAAAAGAAATCATTGTATTCTACATAGATGCTACAAACTAATGTACCTAAGCTGTACAGAACACTAAAGAAGCACCTGTTGTGTACGAACGAGGTGGTAAAAATAACCTTTGATGTCATCGAACTGAACGTCAACCTTTGACGTTTCATTTTTGACCTTTTAGCGCTTAAGTCTATGACGCTAAACAAATTGTGGGTTTCCAGAATACTAAAGCGTCCCAAACGGAAATAGGATAAATGATACGTCTGCCAGAGACTAATACTTTTGTACAGTTTTTAAAACAATATGTATGTCTACAAGTCTTTTGATATATTGAGACCTCTAAATATGTCTGAAGGTGTTTGCATAAAATGAAACTTTTAAATATGCATAAAAGTGCTCAGATAAATTGAGACTTCTAAATATGTCTAAACGTGAATATATTTATACTTCTAAATATGTCTAAATGTGAATATATTTATACTTCTAAATATGTCTAAATGTGCATATATATATATATATATATATATATATATATATATATATATATATATATATATATATATATATATATATATATATATATGAGACTTCTAAATATATCGAAAATGGGATATATTGAGACTTCCAAATATGTCGAAAATTGGAAATATTGAGACTTCTAAATATGTCAAAAATTTGACATATTGAGACTTTTAAATATGTCTAAAAGTGGATATAATGAGACTTCTAAATATGTATACAAGTGGATATAATGAGACTTCTAAATACGTCTAAAAGTGAATACTTTGAGGTTTCAAAATGTGTCTAAAAAGTGCTTGGATATATTGAGAATGCTAAATGATTTTAATCACAAAAGCAACAATATTTTTGTTACAACATGCAATTTTAAATACTTATTATTTCAAGGAACATAAACCTCACGTTTCGTACTTGAATAGTTTGTGCCCATAAATCGTTAGATACCTACCATGTTTATTATTGTACTGAACCTAAATAAATACTATGAAACAGATGCGTGTTGTGTTTATGAACATTTCACTAAGACCATCTCTCTCTCTCTCTCTCTCTCTCTCTCTCTCTCTCTCTCTCTCTCTCTCTCTCTCTCTCTCTCTCTCTCTCTCTCTCTCTCTCTCTCTCAAATCTGATTTTGAATTTGAAGGAATAAAAAAACTATTTGAAGATTATATTGGTTACATGTTTGCTAACAACTTATAAAACCATTTTTCATCTTCGAACAAAAAACGGCTAAAGCCATTCAAAATTATATGTAATGAGAAAACTTGTATTTTACCCTTCTGTGGCATTAGAAAATGTTTAAAATCAGACTGTGCTTCTTTTATACAAAATAAAGATTAAAAATCTAGTTTGTAACAATGAGCGAATTTTATGCAGGTTCTAGCAGATGAAATGGTGTTTTTTTGTGAAAAACAACAAAAAACTGTAAAATGGAGAAAACTTTAAATGCTAATGAAAAAGTATGATTGGCTGACAAACTTTCAGTTGAATATATTAATAATGCATGTCAGCTTGCAATTCACAATGGCTGGACATAGTGAAACACACTGAAATAAAAATGATTTATGTTTGGTATATTTATGGAATATATTGACATGAAAATAATAATAGTAAATAAAAAGGTATTCATAATATTGAATATGATCACATGACCTTTCACATGGGCTAGACTCTGAAACAAAATTTATCATAAAATCAGCTCTATAAATGCTTCCAAATAATTACTGGTAGCCAGATTCATCAGCTAGCTATTGTAATGGATAATATTTGTAATATCTCTGTGTTTATCCGTCACGTCCTAATATCTGGTCAGCAAAATGAATGTCTAAGACAAGAATTTATGGGAATCATTACTTTAGTAGAAGAATGGGTATAGTCTGCTACATGATAGACGACATTTTTATTTGACATTCCAACGGTTTCCTATGGGTCAATCACTCTAGTTTCTTCTTGTAAGCATGCAGAAGCTCTTCCCAAATAGAGATGAATCAAAATGTATACTTTACCCCTTTTGCCCTCACTGGTTTTGTCCTATATTTTGTACAACTTGATAAATCGACTTGGTAAAAATCGAACGAACAATAATAATCGAAACGTGGGTGTTCATTTTCATTTGTTTGACTGCGTGAATGGCACAATAAACAGTAATTTTGAAAATCCATAGTAGAATCATAGTATTTGCAAGC